TTGTTGTTGTTACTTGCATTATAAATTGAGATTTTACTGGGGAAAGTGGCTACTGTGAACCATAAAGCAATTGCCTCAGTCAAAAGCAATTTTGCACATTATGTGTAAGCATTGAAAGGATCAAATTGTTGCATTTACGTTTTTCACACATTACCTGCGATACCTGATTTGTAGTACCTCACCCAATGCTGTTGGACTACATATCCCATCATCCTTGCTAAATTGCCATGCTGACTGGGGCTAATGGGAGATGTAGTCCATCAACATATGGAGGTTACAGTCTTGGCTACATCTGCCTACATAAACCTATTGAAATCAATGCACTTAAGATGGAAAATAGCACTTTTAAATATTTTGAAAAAGAACAAATTGTATTCCCCACTAAGTGCATGTTACTAGATATTTTATCCATAAGGAACTAATAACAAAGCCGCTTCAGAGAATGTGGATCTAGACTGGCCTCAGAGACGCCATACATCCAAAAAGAACCCAATGCCTTCACAACTGCTGGAGAATTGGAATAAAGTAAGAACACATTCCTTAAAATATAAAGTGTGTGCATGTGTGCGTGAGAGAGAGAGAACAATTTTATGTCTCTATATTAAAAGTATTAGATATAAAAAATATTAAAGAAGAAGAAACATTGCAGACAATGGTCTTTCATTGGTTGGGTAACAGCATCTACTTCTCTGCTCCAAGTTTCTGAGACAATATCCGAATTAAAAGCACTTCTCATATATGTTAGCAGCTCTTGTCAGTTACAGCATTTCCCCTTAAGCTCTCATTTGTGACGGGGAGTTTATTGTATGCAGTTGGCAGACAAGACACTAGGCCCCCAGCTGTTCAGATTCCTTCTATGAGTCAACATAATTGCACCCCCCACTCTAATATCTTCAGCCTCTCTTTGCTGTTGGTTGGCTGTAATGGACATACCTAAAGTAATTGAGCCACCTGTTGCATCGCCAGTTCTGTTTATGGAAGCCCCGCTGAACACTCAGTAACTTGGTTTGACACTAATTGTTTCAGAGCATGCCATTGTAATGGCATTGTAAATAAAGTTGTAGATTTCTTTTAATCAATAATAACAACTTGCTCACTAGAGTATAAGTTTATGGCTTTGTTACCCTTTACCTTAGGCGCTTAATGCCAATTTTAAGCCCATTATAAAATCTGTACATTTGAAAATAAGTTTATTTTTACAATAATGTACTCTTCCAGCTCGCATTTTTCAGAGTCTTAGAGCAAATGTCAAAATATAAATATCTACAATGAAATTCATATTTCTACATGGTTTGAGCTATCGGTTTGCTGTTCATTAGGGGGTATATGGCAAGTTAAATGATATCAGCACAATCCTTAGTAGGGAAGAGTAAATGGTGAAGGGATGGGAGGAAACAAAAATTGTGTCTAGGTTCACCACGGCTGCCATTGGGTCACCATCCAGAGGTTGGGCAGATGCACAATTCCATCTCATCCAGGGAAGGGAATGCTACCAGTTGATGGAAACCACAGGAGGGGGAAGTGCTCTTGTGCTCGAATCCTGCTAGCTGGTTTCTCATAGGCAACTGTTCAGCCATTGTGAGAACAGGATGCTGGACTAGATGGACCATTGGCCTGATCCAGTAGGCTCTTGTTATGCTCTTAAATAGTTATTTAGATTATGGTACATCTGTACTAACGGCACAGGTAAATGACCTTACACCAACCATAACATACCATGGAAACAATGGTCCTATACTGTTTGCAAACACGCCATTTCCATTATCTTCTAGCCAGCCAGTCCATAAAAGCCCAAGCATCTAGAACTGTCACTGGATTCAAGGCATTCTTCCTAAATCAATGGAAGGGGCTGGTGTCAGCTCCCAATGGTAAACTTTTGGAAGTTTTCACAGGACCTTTATTAGGCCTTTAAAGTGTTTGGGAAATGGATATACAGTGGTACCTCGGGTTAAAAACTTAATTCGTTCTGGAGGTCCGTTCTTAACCTGAAACTGTTCTTAACCTGAGGTACCACTTTAGCTAATGGGGCCTCCCGCTGCCGCCGTGCCACCGCCACACAATTTCTGTTCTCATCATGAAGCAAAGTTCTTAACCTGAGGTACTATTTCTGGGTTAGCGGAGTCTGTAACCTGAAGCGTCTGTAACCTGAAGCGTCTGTAACCTGAGGTACCACTGTACAGACAAATGTAACTGAAAAGAGGTGGCATAAACTTTGGTTATCTAGACTGTATTGGTCAGTTTCAGCATACAGAAGGGAGTGTACATTCAAAGTCACCCACAGGGGACACTGCACAGTGGTGCAACTTTCCCGAATGACATCAGGGACTCTCACCAAATTGCTGGTGCTGATGTAGAGGTAAAGGTACATTCCACCATTTATGGTGGGAATGCCCAAATGTTGGTCTGATGTCCATAAAGAAATATCTAATGTCTGTAACACTGATTGCTGTGTTGTATTTATGGGATGGGCTTGTAGGTACTCCATTCACGAAGGATTTAGTAACATAGATGCTGACTGAAACTCGTATTTCAATTGCATGAAAATGGAAAGACATAAAGGATTAGCAAATCACGCTCTGGTATAAGAATGTGTGGGCAACTGTAATTAAATATATATATACAAATCATTTAAAAGTTTCCACTGGCACAGACAACCCAGAACACTTTTAAGCCATTTGGTGGGACTTCATGCACAAACTGGACCCAGTGCACAAACTCACCTGTCTGCATCGATGGGAGAAATTTGGGTGTCTTAATCAATCTCCGTATCAATACCTTTGGAATATCAAAGGTTGTTATCTGTACTGCTCCTGTAATTGTTAGCTTTGTATATACAGTGTTAGTTTCTTATTAGTGTTAATGTGTCCAACTCAGTTCTGCTCAGAGCGGCTCCATTGAAATTAATGGATCCAAGTTAGTCATATCTATTTCAGTGGGTTTACTCTGGATGGAGCTAGCATTGGATACAATCTATTGAGCTCAATGGGACTTAGTTTAATTTTTATTTTAAAAAAAACCAGTAGATAACTAAATCCTAGGGCCATTTGTCACACAAACCGCATTCCATGAGATTTATGGCATATCAAATATTTGTTTTGCAAATGTGGGAATTTGCTGCCATGGCTCAGGATGAGTCCTGCATGCCTTGCTACTCTGTTATGTAACACCATAGTCTGCAATTAGGAAATTTCATGGAGCTCTATTGTTCATTTTCTTATCTGAATGGTATTTTTTAATGCAAGTACATATGCTTCTCTGCCAGAAAATCAAGGTCAGACAGAGACAACAGCTACAAATCAGACAGAGTATCTTCTGTGCCAGACATTGGGAAAGGGATTCTAAGCAAGGTTTGGATATCAAACCATTCATGGATGACTATCGAAACCAAAATATGTGACATTATAAGTTTCTCAACCTGAACTGGCTTGCAATTCATTTCTGGGTCCAATTCATGGTCCTGGTCTTGACCTATAAAGTCCTATCTCAGTACCAAATGGTGCCTAACCATACCCCAAGATCATCATCAGAGACTATTCTCCAAGTGCCCCCTAAATCACTGTATTTTCAATGCCGAGCAAATACTTCTTCTTTTTTGTGCCTTTCAATATTTTTAAAATCATTTTAACGTCTTTTTTGTCTCTGACAAATTGATGGAGCAAGGAAGATCTGCTGTTGCTGCTCTCTTTAATTGTTTGTTGCTTCTTTTAATTATTATATATAGTATTTTATTTTATTATTTTTATTTTTTTGGTAGGGAGCCACCCTGAAGATATTTTTTGATGGGCACAACTCACTTGTGAGGCAGATGTGTGGTTGTCTCTTTTTTTCTGAATCAAGGGGGAAATGATAGAACTCTCTAGGGTAAGTCTAACCTAGAGAAAAAAATGCCCATGGGGAATAAGGGAAGGAGAGTATCAGACAGCTCTGAGTGAGCCCTGAGAAACAGGCTAAGAAGGCAAAAGTAGGAGCCACCTTGAGTCTCTGTCGGGGAAAAGGCAGAGAATAATAATAATAATAATAATAATAATAATAATAATAATAGGAGTAGGGCCAATTCAAAAACTGTAACTGGGGCAGAGAATCTTAGAAGATGAAGAACCATTTAGCACAGCAGTTAAATCATCTGCTTTGCATGCAAAAGGTTGCAGGTTCAGTCTCCACCATCTGCAGGTAGGACTAAAATAGACCCTCACCTGAAACTCAGTACAGCCACTGCCAGCTGAGCTAGATGAACCTATGGTGTAACTCAGTATAAGGCAGCTTCCTATCTTTTCCTCCTAGGCCAGGCATGGGCAAACTTGGCCCTCCAGATGTTTTGAGACAATTCCCATCATCCCTAAACACTGGTCCTGTTAGCTAGGGATGATGGGAGTTGTAGTCCCAAAACATCTGGAGGGCCAAGTTTGCCTATGCCTGTCTTAGGCAGTCAATGACCAGAGCCTTATTCATGAGTTACTCATGCCTTGCTATGTTGACAGAGAAACAGGACTGCAATTTTAACACACACACCCCAATATGTCACTACACCTTTCCGTAAGAAATGCATGTTGCTCTTGGTGGTCTGCAAAGAATATCCAGGAGGCTCTGCCTGATGGCGGCATCCATGCAATGGACATCTGTGGATGCATACTGGCAACATCTATCAAATATATCTGTGATAAAGCTCTGCATGCAGAAAATCCCAGATCTTAGCACCGGCATATCAAAGTATATTACAGCACAATCCTAACCATGTCTACTCAGAAAGCAACCTTGTTGAATTCAATGTATTGGATTTCCAGAGACTGATATTTTAGTTTTCGTTAGCAGAACTGGGCAAGACCTTTGCCCTGAAGACTTGGGGAGCCATTGCAGGTCAGAATAAGCAGTCCTGGGCTGGATGGGCCAATGGTCTAACTCAGACCAAGATCACTTCATTGGTATTGTACCACTTAGTCAACTTCTGAATCCCTGCAAATGAGGAAGGAAAAGAAGTATATACAGCATGCCAAGCCATTTATTCACAGTCACTATTGAGGTTCATTTTAATTAAACAGTTTTCGAGTGGCATGTCTTCAAAGCCCAGATCCATTTAGAATGTTGAGATCTAAACAATCACTTCCAAACATGTCCATCTTGTTTTTTTTTAGAAACAACTATTTGCATCAGTGCTTCAGGGGGATGCTGATCTTCCTGATTCAAGTTGATATGAGTGAGTCTTTGCATATAGGCAGCTGTTGTAGACTCAGGCAGCAGGTCAGCAACTTGTGCAACAGGAAAGAAGTCATCTCACTTTGTCAAGACAGTGGAATTGTCCAATTGGCTGCCTGGATTCAATAAGATTGCATTCAGCCTATCCAAATACTTAGGTAGCAAATGGTTACAGGTCTGTTCCAGCAACAACTTCATGAACACCAGTTGACTGGACTACTTTGCAATTCGCTGCTTATTATAATCTAGGCCTATTTAAACAAATGGACCCTAAACTCAGTTGACCCTATGAAGAAAAGAATCATTAACTAGCCCCTTTGAAAAGTTTTTTTAAAAAAGAGTGTCCTGTTCTATGACATTGTCCAGCAAGGCACCATTTGTTCATTGAAAATGCATATGAGCTCTTTCAAGAGTCCTTCCTCTTTTCAGGAAACCTACGGGACAGTTTGTAATCTAAATAAGCGCTGAAACAGGACCATAAAATGAATCGCGTTAATATAATTACAACCACTAAAATCATCAAAGGGCCTGATCCCATATTTAAGCTACAATAATGAGGTAACGGGGTAGGGGGGGGGATACTAATCCTACTACTATCACTACTCTGGGAGATCTAATTATATAATGTCGTATTCAGGGCTGTGTGGCGGATGGAGCCATTCCTGTAACATTCCAATCAAAGTGATCTCACTAGCATGTGAAGGAAGAGTCCAGCTGACAGATTTGGGACATGTACTATTTAGTCAAGAGGCCCCATGTACTATTCATAAAGAATTAACAACTCTTATATTGACAATGACATTATTGTCAGAAGATCTTTGGAAGGGGAAGAAGGGGGGGGGGAAACCTCCATAAACTCTCTCTCACACACCCTGTGAAGTTAGACACTCTCTCTCTCTCTCTCTCTCTCTCTCTCTCTCTCTCTCCAGCCTCTTTTTCCCCAATGCTGATGTAATCTCCAAACATCTCCAACAGCAGCTGCTTAGCGAAACCGGGCACCTTCTCCCTAGTCCTTTTCAGAAGCACACGCGGCACTTTCCAGCCCCCTCAAGACAATTGGGGCCTTTCTTTTGCCAATTAGCTATCACTTCAAGAGCCCCCGCGCTGTCCAACGGGCTCTTAAGAACAGTCTTTGCAGGAAACAACACTGGAGGGGCTTTTTCTTTTCCTTTCCTAGACAAATTAAAAAGGAACAAGAAGGGAGGGAGAAGAAGGGGGAAAGCAAATCAGAGCACAGAAACTTCCCAAAATGCATTGCTCATCAATTAGTCCAGGGCCGCATGCAAAAGCACCCATGAGAGTCAATCTCATAGCGAGGAAGAAGGCGGTCGGTGGTGGTGGTGGTTGGGAGGGAAATGCTCACTTTCTCTTTGGGAGACTGTTTCGGTCAGTATGTTAAGCAGATGTGACAGAAAAGACTGTTTGTTATAGCAAAGCTCAGAGTTACAAAAACGGTACAAGAAAAGGAGTTCTTGGAAGGCTGGTCTTTGCTTCTCTGTGTTAGGGGCATTGTTATTTGTAGCAAAGTGAAATAGGAAAACGAAGCTTTGTGGGGCTTGTTTTTGCTAACTATTGGTGGAGATAAATAAGAGGGGGGCTTTGCTAAAAGCCCTACTGTAGACCAGTGCAAATGAGACTCGGCTACTGTGCTTTCAAGAAAATAAAACAGGTTGGGTTCATGGGAAACTAGATATTGAGGCAGAGGCAGATTGAACCTTAGTTATTGCCTCAGTTGGTCTGCCATGGTAGGGTATGATACAGCTACTTGGCCCATTGAAGTTTCAATTCCTTGAAAGCAATAGAGCTGAGGGATACGACTTTGGTTTATTGTTGTACTTTACTCCAAACAAGGTGCCTTTTGGTCCCTGTCAGGACCAAAGCTCACTAGTTACTGTTAGTTACTGTTAGCAGGCCCACTGTCAGACTGTTTCCTAACTCTGATTTAATATATATATATTATATATATATATATATATATATATATATATATATATATATATAATGTTGCAGGAGTGCAATTGCTGTCAGCTTTGATCATTGGCCATGCTGACTGGGACTGATGGAAATCCAATGGCTTACCTTGAGGAATACAGGTTTTTCATCCCTGCATTAAAACATATGGTTGGAGTAAATCTTTTCTTCACATATTGACCAAACTCACAACCAGCTGAGATCAAGTCAACTGGGCCTGTTGTTTACACTGTCATTTTGATAGGTTCAGCTATCATCAGCTAAAGACTGAGCATTTTAACTGTAGCCCCAAGCCATGAAACCTCCCAGGCCCGTGTAGAGCTTGTCTGAGGACCAGTACAGGTGTCTTGTTTTAATAAAGTTACAAACGCAAACAAAAAAGCAGAGGATCTCTGATGGGACCCCCTGGCTAGCTTAGCCCTCCAAGGCCTGGGGCAAGTGTGCCCAGCTGCCCATCCCATCCCTTCTCAAGAGGTAAGGAAGATTCATCTCGACTGCTCTTTCACATGGGTTGGAAATCCTCTCAGTTTCATCAAGGTTTCCAAAGAAGTTGTATTCATTTTGGTGTTTCATTTCATATGCAATATGTACTGGTTTCAAATAATGTTTTGGTCTTGGCAATTTTGGGTGGTTGTAACTGCTTTGAGTTTAAGAAGCATGGGATCAAATTATAAATAAATCATATTTATTTACATATACAATTTTATTACTCAGATTTCTATGATAAAGTTTCAGAATGATGTAACATACAAGAAAAAAAGTCAATGCATACTACAATTTTATGGAAGTACAATAATCCATAGCCACCAGTCCTAGTACTAGTCACACTTTAGCAGTACTTAGAAAACTCATTTATAAAAGGTTCTAGTTCATCCTGTCCTAAAAGGAACTAGTTCAAGTTAAAGCTCGTACTTTTATAAAACAAACTAGTTTGGTTCAAGTTCATCCAAATGAACTTTTTAGTTCATGAAAGACTAATTCTTTGGAGGTGGGAAATCAGCATTTAGAATATGATAAGCTGAAGTATAGGGTCCAAAAGTAAATCAGGGGCTACACACACAGGGGCTAATAAGATGTCTAAAAGACAGAATTGTCTTTCCCCATAATTCTATTTCTATCTTGGAAAAGGCTCACCTGTTTAATTTCTGCCTGCTACACAGCAGGCACAAGACAGCATTCACTTTGTTATTTTACCTGTACTTCACACTGCAAGCTCCACCTGTTGGAAGAAAATGAATCTCTTCAGCAGAGAAGATACTGGAAATGCCTCATATTCCTTCTTTCTTTGCTTAGCAACAGTGATTTTGGTGACTGAGTGACCAGAGCAACAGCAATACCTCCATATCTGCCTAATAAGATACATAATGTTGCCTCCATGTTTTGTTTTCTAACTTTCAACTGACACTGTTAAAAAAATATATGAAAGCTTCCAGGCCTCCTACTGGAGGCAAGGGATAGAAAAGGGGAATGAACATGAAGATTAACTAGATTAACTAGAAAAGGGGAATGAACATGAAGATTAACTAGAAACCATTCAAAGTTCTACCCCAAAATAACCTTAATTCACCTTTAACTCATCCAGCAATAATGGGCACTATTTTCAGGTGTAGTTCAGAGATTTTTGAACTAGTTCAGTGAACTTCATTAAACCAAACAGGTTTATTTCCAACCAATGCACTTTAGTCTATATCTAACCCAGAATGAGGGTACTTAAGCCAACAGAGTTATGCAAACTTAATTCTGGGTTCGATTTAAGCCTCTGTTTTGTGTGGTTAGTGGCCCAGTTGAGGAGAAGGGGATCGCTAGATGCAATAAACACAAAAAACACATCGTGCTTAATGGGGATCAGATGAGAATTGTATTAGTTCTCTATTTCTGTGTCAGGATAAATTCTTCTTATAACATATCAGTGTTGACCTCATTATTCACAATTATCCTGGGGGGCGGATTATAACAGGCATTGTTTTACAGTAATGGATCAAGTTACTTTTCTGGGGGGTATATTCTATGGCTTTTGCACCACAATCCCATGCATGTCTACTCAGAAGAAAATCTCATTAAGTACAATTGATTTCCTCCCAAGTGTATAGGGTTGCAACTTTAATGTCCAGCATTGACTTTTGCCTCACACCTCCCTCTTCTGGAACTGAAGATCCTTCCTCTGCTTCACCATAAGAAAGAAATATTCCCAATATACTATGGTAATTTTAGTTCCATGTATGAGATGGGAAATGCACACACTGGGAGATTCATGGGATGGGAAGCCCCATGCTGTACATCTTTGTCCAGATCCAGTAAGGCAGATCCGCGTGCACAGCTGATTTGAATGTGTATCTTCATCTGGATGGACTGTGAACATTATTATGCTTATCCTATCGAACTGGCTGAGTGCATCTTTTGATGCAAATGGGGCTGCATGTCGCCCCCATTCCAGACCACCAGTTGTTATGTATAACTAGATCTCCTTGACTACAATGGGACTGTGGTCAATGTATGTCGTATACACCTCTGTGAAAAATGGTGATATACTCATAACTAATATATTGTCATAGTGTCTTGATTATATGCCTTTTTTTAAAAAAAAAAACCAGATTCAGTATTTTTGATCTTCATGTGAATTAAAAACCTCGCAATCAGGAGGAAGATACTTGAACAACTAATCAGAAAAATAATAATTACATTTTAGGTGACCTCCAATTTGCAAACAAAAATTACTGACATTCAATATCAACAGTAAACAAGGATTATGTTGGTATCAACTGCAATGGGTTCTAGTCCATAAAATTGTGTGTGTGTGTGTGTGTGTTACAAATTAATTTTACTTCTTTGTATTGAAATATTTACATTCTGCCATTCCGCCTCATTTAAATTACTTTCAAGGTGCTTACAGCTCATAAGAAAATGACAATTAAAAACATCCTAACCATCACCACAAGCTAACCACTATAGGAAATAAATAACGTATGAAGCTGGTGAACATTATATCTTAACACAAAATTAAAAGAATAAGGAAATAGGATACTTAACTTACTCTTATTAGTCACATATTCAGAGAAGGTGGAAAAGGCAGCAACACAAACCTAGCAAGGGCCTTTTGACTAATACAGAGGTCTCGAAAGTTTTCTTTTAAAGATTTTTTAAATTAAAAAAACCTAGAGATCGCCAATGCTTATCCCTTAGCATCACAGGTTTCCTACATTTATCAGACTGGAAAGGTAAAGGCATCTTTTTCAATGTATTTACCTAAGGTCCCACAATTCCCTGTACAATGAAGTGAAAACAATACAGCCTTTTAGAGGAGTCCTGTTAAAAGCCAAATCAAGGAGTTTTATCTTTAAAGGGCAAAATCTGAAATGTTGACAAAGTAAACAACTGTTTCAAGACCTTGTGATTATATGCATGCTCCAAGTTCTTTCAATGTTACATTGTGCCGAGAAGGACACAAACCACATGCCTCTTACTTACTCTTCGGCAACGAAAAATGTCACAAAAGTACTGAGAGAACAGGCAAGCATTGATAGAAACTAGAGGAGAAACTATGCAAGAGTAGCTTCCCCCTCAACCCCAGATTAAAAAAAAGAGTTCATTTTAATATCGTCCTTGCATTTTAATCAAATTTGCATCATATTGTGTGGGAGTGCTGATCAAACCTGTGACATCAATTCTGAGCTGGTGTGGTGGCAAGAACTGTTCAGTTGCTTCAGGAGTGCATCAGCCTTCATTCCATTTATTTCTGTGAGGGAAGGGAATGCTGTCAAGATGGCTGGGATTAAAGTCCCCCAGTGAGGGAGGCTGAGGACTGAGAGGTGGCCCCGGGATGTAGCAAAGCTAAGGGACAGGAAACCTAGAATTAAGGAGGTCGAAGGGAGATTACAGAGCAGGCAAAGGATTTAGAGGGACATAAAGGAATAGTAGCTTGCTTGAGAGAAAAGACAGCAGGGATTGGAAATGAAAAATGGGACTAATCAGAGAAGGAGTAACAGCATTCAGTTTCAAAGCATTTAAGGTTGAGGGAGCTATATGCTTTGATGGGAAAAGAAAGGCATACCAGGAAGGCTGGTGAAGATATAGAGTGACTAATTGCTACGTCCAGACTATGCCAAGGGATTATTCTCATTGTGGGTTGCCCAGTATAACTGTCAAAAAGCAGAGAGGTGGGGGAGGCAAATATAATTTGAACTAATCAGCCAATTATCTCACAGTAGATGTCTAGCACTTACTTGAGTACGGAATAAAACATTTTAATAGAATGCCTAGGTGCCATGTACTAGAATTCCAAAAACTAATGGAACCACTTCTGAGTTTGAAGAGATATTACTAGGCCTCAGACCCAGAGTTGGTTTTCAACATGACAGGCACCAGAAGGTAGTCCACCTGGCTGTTGGCCCATAAAGGTAAGAGCGGTGACAGAGGAGACCTCAGATGCAGCTCTTTGCCCTCATACCTACAGGGTGAAAAGGGGAGTATTGAAAGGGGGAGGAGGAAGGGGAAACAATTTTGGGAAGAGAGCAATTTGGGAGTCAAAATGGGAAAGGGTTGCATTCTTCAGTAGCTGCAACTTCCAAAATCAATGTAAGGGGAGCCCCACATAGATCACATTGCAATGAGCCACGTTACAAGGTGACCTGGGCATGGGGCACCGTAGCAAAGTTATCTCTATCCAGCAACAGTCAGAGCTGGCATACCAGCCAAAGCCGATAAAAAACAATCCAGTGGCAATGATAGATGAAGGAATACTCCCAGCCTATATACCTGTTTCTTCAGAGGAGTGCAATCCCATCCAGCGTGGGAGATTATAGTCAAATCCAACAATGCATTTTCTTGCTTTTGAGTATGTTTCGGTGCTAATGACCACAGAGCTGTATTGCTGTTGGCAGAGACTCAGACCATAGAAATGTAATTGGTAGAGAGGGTTCTATGTGATGTCATTTCCCTATGTCTCTTGAGTAGGAAGAATCAAAGAAGTATTTCCTGTTCCTTTCTCTCTCTCTCTCTCTCTCTCTCTCTCTCTTTCTCTCCGACCAGAAATGGGGGCAGACATGCCCTCTGCTTGGTCCATCTCAGGCTCATGCCCGAGACTGTTTCGACTGTAAAGTAGATTTCAATTGATCCAAAATACAGCAGACAAATTACTGGCTGGAGTTCCATTTAGATCACATCTAACCCCCGTTTTAAAACAGCTGCGTTGGTTGACAGTTTGTTTCCAAGCCCAGTTCAAGGTATTTAAAGTCCTAAATACATGAAAGACAACCTACTGGGAGTTGAAATCAGTCGTGTTGGTAGTTCCACCACCCTCAGAAGTTTGGGGTGGGGTGGGTGGGAGAGGCTGTTCTCTGTGAAAACCCCTAAGTTGTATATTTTCCCTGTATATTTTCAGGACCTACCCTATTTCTTGTAATTGCTTTTTTCTGTAATTGTAAGTTTTTAAAAACTGCTTTTAATGTTGTGGTCTAAATTGTTGTAATCTACCCTGTGTGTGAAGGTTGGGGGTAATAATAATAATAATAATAATAATAATAATAATAATAATAATAATATCCTTTAGGGAATTAATGCACCACCTATTTCTGATCTTTTATTTAGTATTAATGATCTATCTAGATTATGTTTACGATCTCTTTGAACATGGAAAGGAGGGCAGAGAGGAAAGGAAAGAAAGTCCATTTCAGCAAGCTCCACTGAAAACTGATATGTAACTTTGTTCTGGCTGATCAAGCTGTTAACCAGGAATGCTGTCAGGAAGCAGGAAGCATGTTCTGTTGCGTTTTTTGGAAAAACAGTATACCTGAATGATTTTTCCTCATTCCCTTTGAGAACATACAAAATCAGTCAAGGAGGTGAAAAGTAACTGTATCGCCTTACAGACAAAAGCAACTTTCTGATTGCAGCTATTTCAGATATTTGGCAGTTTAAGGAAAGAAAGAAAGAAAGAAAGAAAGAAAGAAAGAAAGAAAGAAAGAAAGAAAGAAAGAAAGAACTCAAACTGCATTCACAGGTTTACATGGTGACAAACACACTTTGTAAAAATTAAGAAGGCAAGGTTTGTACTAGCCATAGCCTATGAATAAGACTACCTTAAACTGATTAGAAGTCTGAAGAGAAGCGTTTACAGGAGGATGATGTATTTGGATTGTAAAGAGGCCAAAATAAGCATTTTGAAAATAATCTCTGACTATGGGACATTTTATTTTTCATAAGAAGGAAAGAGCTGTTGCTGCAAGAGGAAGAAAAGAATTACTCTTTTATTTAAGCATTTTCTTTTCTTTTTTTAAAAAAGACAATTTTGTAAAGGAAGGAAGTGATCAGGCCACAATCTTAACAAAAAATGCCCGCATGCTGAAACACCATACAAAACAAGGATTCTACAGAGAAAATGAGGAGATGACCTAATGATTCAGAGAGACAGAGAAAACACTGATCAAAGATATAACCAGCTCTCTGCAGTTCCTCCTCACTCTGTTTTAAGTGAGAGAAGTGAAGCAAGATTCAAGAGAAGGTATTATGGGGGGAGGAAAGGATGTGATCACACAGATCCAGTTACAAATACCCCACTCCTCCCTTAATTCAGTCTTTAGTATTGACAAGTTTAATATTATTGTGACAAGCCAATAAATAAATAAAGACAATGCTGAAATTTTAAATGTGTGTGCGTGTGCGTGCGTGCGTGCGTGCACGCACACACACACACACACACACACACGATACCTGAAGGATATCCATTCTAGAGAAGTACAAACATTCATCCACTTAACATTCCTCTCTCTAGGGTTAAATATATTATGCACATTGCATGAATTTCACACTGCTAAAGAACAAGAGTCTCCTTATATTGCTTTCTATTACATGTCTAATTTTGAAACCAAACAGCCACATTCAACATTTTCTTCCACTTAATTATCAGAGCATTGCCCATAGCCGATTAGGTATTTAGGTCCAACTCTTCTGAAGATTCATTAGGGAAGACTTGCCTGTGGGGAGAATGAAATCATTTCCTTCCCCTTCCTCTGTTATCTCCCTTGTGCATATGTCTAGATTGTAAGCCCCTTGGGGCAGGGAGCAGTCTTTCACTCATGGAAAAGTGCCAGGTCATGTACATGGGGCTATATAAATAATAAATAATGACAATATGAAGGAAGTGAGGCTTGGCTACAACAGCAGTCAGGACTGTCAATGACCAAACCTCTGGATGGCCCAGGAAGTATCCAGCCTGATGTTTTAAGAAGCTGGTAACAGTGGTGGCCAAAAATAACAAAGTTACTGCAGCATAGGTAAAGGTAAGCCTTTTTACTATTTACCTTGGAGTAAGAGCCACTGAAATCAATGGGACTTGTTTCTAAGTCAATGTGCATAGGGTTGTGTTGTCTCCTCGGAAGCAAACCCCATTGTGTTAAATGGGACTCACTCACAGGTAGGCGTGAACAGAATTGCAGCCTAATTGCAAAAACGGGATAGAGCTTTGAGGACTGTAGATGTATCCTGATGGCCCAGCAGCCCACAACCATGGTGTCTTAGGTAAGTTGTAGCATCACAACTAACTGCTTTCCAGAAACACCTAGTTCTACTTTGAGGGCACTTGCAGCACAATCCTAACCATGTCATAAGTAGATCCTTTTGAATCCCATAGGGCTTACTCATAGAATCATAGAATTGTAGAAGGGACACCAAGGGTCATCTAGTCCAACCCCCTGCAATGCAGGAATCTCAGCTACAGCATGCATGACAGATGACCAAATTCCAGGTAATTGGGGTTGGGGTTGCCACCTAATTCTCACTGAGTTCAGTACAGAATGCTCACAACAAATTTTGGTTGAACTAGAAAGAGGGGGGCAGTAATAGAGTAATTAAAACTGCTTACAGCCTGGAGCATGCCTAATGTTGTAATACTACACATCTAAACAGTCAGACAAATGCTCATGAAAGTGACAAACATTATGAAGAAAACACTCTTCATGTCTGAAGCACTATAACACAGTGTGATTCTTGAGAGTCTCCCTCAAACAGAGTGGCCGAACCTTCAGAATCCTAGAAAGAATATAAAGCCACAAATGTAATTAGGTCCTCTGCATGTTTTTGAGTTTTGCTCTGCATCAGGGATAGAAACAATAAAATAGGCAAGGCTTATTGCATAATTTTCAATGAATTTTTTAAACAGACTTTAGAAATGGGTACTGTATAATTTACATTGTTTCTGTTACTAAATGTGGAGCACTATCTTTGCAATTGGTCATTTTACAGATTTTGCCCAGAATATATTCAATGGGTTGCGTTTAGTTTAAGTTAGTCATGCAGTTAGTCCCATGTGGATCACTGGATCCAGTTAGTAAAGTTGAACTGCAGTCCCATTGCTTTTAATGGAACCCCAATGTGACTAGTCTGGACCCAGCCCCAATGAATGCAATTTGGATTGTTTATGTTTTGCAAGTCTATGATTAGAACCAGAGAAGCAGTGTGATATAGTGGTTAGAGTGTTGGACTAGGAGCTGGGAGACCAGGGTTCAAATCCCTACTTGGCCATGAAGCTCACCCTGGGCCAGTCATGGCCTTTCAGCCCAACCTACCTGATGAGGATGCTGTGGGGATTAAATAAGGAGGCGGAGAACCACGTACATCTCCTTTTATTCCTCCTGAGGAGCCTGCTGGATCAGGCCAATGGCCCATTTAGTCCAGCATTCTGTTATCCCAGTGGCCAAACAGGTGCCTGTGGGAAACCAGGGAGCAGAATGGCACTTTCCTCTCCTGTCGTTTCCAGCAACTGCTATTCAGAAGCTTGACTGACTTTGACTGTGGAGGTAGCATTGTGGCTAGCAGCCATTGGTAGCCCTCTAAATCCATTCAACCGCCTCCTGTGGATGCAAGTTCCATAGTTTAACTACGTGCTACATGGAGAAGAACTGTCTTTTATCTGTCCTGAATCTTCAAACGTTCAGCTTCATTGGATGTCCATGAATTCTGTGTTATGTGAGAGAGAAACTTTCATGCATCCTAGTAGCCTGTCCTGTGGAACACGCTCCACCAGATGTCAAAGGAATAAACAACTACCAGACTTTCAGGAGACATCTGAAGGCAGCGCTGTTTAGGGAAGCTTTTAATATCTGAAGGACTATTGTATTTTAATATTTTGTTGGAAGCTGCTCCAGAGTGGCTGGGTAAACCCAGCCAGATGGGCAGGGTAAAAATAATATATTATTATTATTATTATTAATAGGAGATATGCATATAACTGTGATAAATATATAAGGTTACCTTAATTGTTAAGCCTGTTCCGAAAGGTGTTCCAGGTTTCAAGCTTTTAAAGTGAGATTTTCGCAGCCTTTTTGAGACATAGGCTACATCTCTAGACACAAGAAAGAAGCATTTCAGTTAAACACGTTAAACTTTGTATGAAAAATGGCGTTGGCAAAAATAGAACTCCACTGCGCCATCTGGTGTCACAGTGTTATAATGCATATACAACGCATATAAAACACTGTTTCTTTACCAATCTAGCTGAGTCCCTAGTGGTACAACCCGGACAAACTGGGGTTTGAATATGGGAAATCAGGTTCAGCTTCAAATAATTATGCACCTATATGTTTACTGATCTCGGGCAGCCAAACCTACCTCATAGGGTTGTTGTGACAGGAAACTGCCTCTGTTAGCAAAAATGGAAGGGGAAAGGGATGCAGATGGGTGTTTTTGATGCTATGATGTCTATACACATCAACAATCCCCTTCCATCTTCATGTGGGGATGTGGCCATCACGTGAAAAGGACCACCACATTTTAAAGAGTCAAAAGTGACTGTTGCTGAGTAAAACTTCCTTAAAAATTAACACGCCGACTTCCCTACATCGGATGAAAAGAAATGTGTGAATCAAATACAAGTCACTTAAATTACGAACGATGCAGCCTGTTAATCAACTCGGACATGTGGTCCGATTAATGTTTGCGCCAGTTTCCTGTAGGGATGTCTTGCTGTTAGTTATTGCATCTGTCAGTACAGCTTATCTTCATCCTTGGCCCAAAAACTCCATAAAGTCCAGAGAACAACAGCCTTCCTTGAGGGAAATGAAAAGACAATCACATAATTAACTTATATGGGTAAAATATGAAATAGGCAGAGGGAATCCTTTAGGAATGTTTATTTCCTTCCCTTGGAAGAGGGAGAAATTTGCTTCTACTACGTGCAAGCTGTGAGGAAGGGGCAGGGAGGTGGGGGGGTGGGGAGGGGGATAAAAAAACGAGAGAAGAATTTGGACTTCTCCAAGTTGTGGATCACAGCCCTGAGTTAGCAGCGAGTCTAAACAAGGCCGACGTTAGCATTCAGAGCACACGTTGCCGCAGAGTATGGGAAAAGGACAGAACAGCCCAAAGAGCTGGCGCCACTAACTGACGAGCAGAGCGCAAGTGATCAAGATTTACTGCAAGAGAGGAGGAAACAGTCCGCTGGCCCGATTAGAGCTGTGAATACCGAGTTGTTCAGGGAGGATTTTGCAGCTGACTGATCACAGGCTGGCGGAGCAGGCCTCGGACAACAGCTGCAAGGCTTGCTGGGCTGCGAAAACAAAGAGCGCCTAGCACAGCGCAAAGAAAGAGCTGACAGGTTGTTGTTAGCAGTGGCAAATGTGTGAGGTATGGCGCTGTGTGTGAGACACGGTGGGTTGCTGGGAAGGAAGGAAGGAAGGAAGGAAGGAAGGAAGGAAGGAAGGAAGGAAGGAAGGAAGGGGAAATAGAGAGCAGGCAGACCTCAGGGAACAGGGACAGGAAGCAGAAGAAGGCAGGGAAAGGGAGAGAAGGTCAAACAGGCTCCTAAAACCAGGCCAATGTTTATATGGGGGGCAATTGCAAGGCCCATTTGCTGCTGCTGCAGAGATGAATTAGCCCATCATCGTCTCATGGATAAGGAAAAAATCCAGTGGCACCCACTGCACAAGTATCTACTTAGTCATTTAAAGAGACCAATTACAGCCCATTTGAATTAAGGCACAGTTTTTCTCCTTTGGCAAGCAGAACAGTAGGGGCCTAGTTGCAGGCAGCTTTCCCTCTTCATTGCTGAGGGCAGAAGAATGAACTAACCTGTGCAAGTACTGCTCTTGCTGGCTGATTGCATTTAGGGGGTTGTTCTCCAACCTACGCCTGGTCCCACTTCTCCAGCATTAAAAGTGAGCTCTCCCTCCCTCCCTCCCTCTCATTTACCGGTAGGTGTTTGCACACACACACAGTTTTTCCTGCAGACCAACAGATAATGCGCTAGGAAAAGCTTCATCTGCTTAATTGCTTCATGTAGCTTGCTTTAGTTTTTCTTTTTAAGTTGAACAGTTTAAGTTGAACTCCCTCCACACAGTTACTTACTTTAGCTACTTGAATTGCATCCCACAAGAGACAGTCCTGAAGCAATTTGCAAAAACAACATACGACAACGGTAGAAAATATACAGGCATGTTCAAATCAGCATTGTATCCAACCAAGTCTTGTTCATGAAGTTGCACAATGGAACTTCCCCTCTCTATCCACAGACACACAAACCTATTCTGGGGGTTCCTCAACCCTCTAGAGCAGGTGGGGGGCACAAGGAGACAAGAGGGGGGGTGCCATTGCATCCTGGAACAAACAGGATGACTTCATTAGATACAACCCATAATCAGAGTAAAAACAGCCAAGCATTGGTGCTGCCCAAATGCCCGAGAAAACAAAAAACAGTGTTTGCCTTGTGTCAAAACTCTGACAAAGTTGGCATCAGGTGGCCTTCCCTGGGGAGAGCCTTTCATGGAAAAGGCCTGCTCTCTCTCTTGACCTCCCTCAGAGGTGGCATGCAGAGAAGAGTTTCAAATGATGACATCAAGGTCCCTGTTTAGACAAAACACAACCACAGTGTTCTTGAAATGATAGAAATGACACGTTTAAATGAAGGTTGTGGTCCTTGTGCACTGCTCACTCAGTGGCTTTGCATGTTACACCTAAGTAGGAATCGTTTCAGCTAAAGTGTGTCGCCTATCTCTTCTGCTTCCGGCGTAACATCCAGAAAGGGTCCCTGAACATTTGACACCAAGGCGAGAAAACCATGAGCTACCTAAGCCTTTGAAACTGATGCAGAACACTGCGAGAGAGCTATCCTAGGCATGTGAAAAGCTGATGTGTAGAAGTGCACCTCAGTGTTCACTGTCATGTTGCAATATAGCCAAGCTGAAAAGACATTCTCATGTCTTTCTGACTTCTTTCAACATGTTGTGGTGAGGAGCAGAGATGGAAAAGGGTCAAAGAAGCCTGTGTTAAGATTGCAGAGCAGCGATTTGGGAGGTTAGCAAGGGCTAGGATATGGGGAAGGAGGATGAAGCTAAAGTTCTTCATCACTTGACCATTCCATCTATCTATCTATGAGAATGAATAAGGGCTTGATTGTCTGGACTGCAATATGAAGTTTCCTATTTACTTCTCTATCTGACGATAAAGAAAACAGCTTCTAAAAAGTGACAGCCTCCCGCTGGAATGTAAATAAGAGATATTATGATGCAGTGGAATAACAAAATCCAGCTCTCTTCCATAAGGATTGTTTTAATTCAGAAATATCAGCATTATGCCATGTAAGCAATAAACAGCATTCATTTCATGGGGTATGTAGCTTGCCAAATAATGAAACTAGGTTGATCAACCAGTTCAGCTCAGATAAAAGCTGTACTTTCTTTTTTCCAAGTTGCTGAAGTTTTTTTTTTTATGAATAATTCTAAAATAAGGGGAGTTTCAGACAAGAAACGTCACGAGGCTTCTAAACACATTGCTGTCTATGTTCTCCCAAAATGTCAAAAATTCCAATGTGCAGATTACTCCATCTAGGGGCAGAAATTTCATCTTCTTCCCCCTTCCCACCCCAAGCCTTGCTTTGAGTTGTGGCACAGTTTCAGGAAGCCAGACGAGACATCTCTAGGCTCACAATTTTCCTTGATATCAGCTAAGTTAAGGCAATATACAGTGTTACATCCCACCCCCAGCACTATGCTTTCTGTGTAAAAACTTGCTCTTCTTGGGTTCACTCGAACACCTAACCATGGATATGTTTCATTCATGTTAATTTTTCCAGAAGTGAATATCCATGCCTGGTACCTATGCTGCATCTTTCTCAGAAATTAACCCAGCTGTTTTTCTTAAAGGATTTTTTTCATCTCCATTTTTATTTCTCCTTTTTTATTTGGTCATCTTTACAAAAAATAATAATTCTGTATGGCAATGGTTTTTTTTTCATTCATTCCATTTGTAAAATGCCCTGGAAACTGTTGTTGAAGAGCAATATAGAACTAAATAAATCTGAAAACTTTTTTTAAAATGATATACTACTTTTGGGGGGTGTGGCGAGGGGTTGGAATCCATGTTGTCATATGCTAAAAGAAAACCAACAAGTGCACTTGACTGTCATCCCAAGCTGCTTTCCCAGAGACAACTGAGGGTTGGAGGGAGGGAAAGAGAAATGCAGGAAGACATCAGAAGAAATGATGCCTCTATCATGCCAACTTCAGGTGGCACAGTTCAGGTTGGGAGACGTTCGCAACCTTCGAGCCAACCACAACTTCAGTACCTTGGGCATAATTCCATGACATAATCATCTGCGTATAATATTGGCATCTCATACCTATTTGCATTTTCTCCCTTTTGAGGAGGCGAATAGGCCAACGGCATTAAAGCCTCTTCTCTCTCTCTCGTTATTTTTCTTCTTTTTTAAAAAAAAAGCTTGCCATGTTTGCATTGCTGGACCATGGCAGTGTGGAAGCCAGTTAATTCCTCATGCAAGCAGTAAGATCACAGCTTTCCGGCATACTGTATTTTGGTCCTTTGTCTCTCGCATCTGCCAGCATAGTCAAGTGGATTCAGAAGCGGCATTATAATATTCTGGAAGGCAACCAAATGACTTCTTTTAAAAATGCCCCTCTTCTCCATCCTCCTCCGAGGAGTCGGGCGTCGCGCACAGCTTATTTTCTGCCTACTCTGCCATTTCAACTGCAAAAACTTTTTTTTTTTTACACAAAACGCAAAAGGCTCCAGAGACCGTGTTAATTTTTCAAATAGCAATCCAATTACTGAGCAAATTGGCACAGGTGCCTAGTTACATAGTGACTTGGCACTGGCTTCGTTCTCTCTCTCCTGGCAGTGATGAATGAGCTCGCCTTCGCCCTCCTCCTCTGTCTGCTCTTGCCTCGGAGCCAACATCAGTGACCACATAAGGAGAGTGCCTGGCAGCTGCAAGTCCTGGGTGCCAAGAGGCAGATTGTATTCGGTGGCAGCAGGATCAGGCACTGCGACTGGCTTCCTGGCTAGCCTTTTGTCAAGGCCCTTTCTCCCCCGAGCCTCTTTGCTGGCTCCAAAGTATAAAATGCCTGAGCGGGGCCAGTACGGAAGCAGAGGATTTGCTTTCCAAAAATGAGAGGGGTTTTAAGTTGGCACACACACACCCTTCAACAACAACTACTGGGCTCAGGGTGCATGACAGCAATACCACCAAACACATCACTGTCCTTTGAGGCTAGAGTTGGGCGATCATTTTTGAGAGACCTGTGCACTGCCCACAGTGTCCGCACGTGTTTCTTTTGTCCTTTGGGCGCCTCTGGTCCAACAGATTATGTAGGCTTTTGAAACACTACAAAACCCTGCAAAACCCAATTAACCCGTGGTGAAATTGGGCTAAGTGTGCTCACCAAAAGCAGCCAGCGTTCATTCAAACGGCTGTCAGCTCTCTGATTACCTGCCTCCAGCCTTTGCATCAGTCGCTCTCCACACGCTTGGGGGTACATTTCTGGTTCCTGAAGGGTACAATAGAACTGAGGTGACAGAAAGAGCAGCTGCCCTTCAGTAAGGAATGTGTTAGAGTGGAATTACCTGCATTTCTTTGAGTTGCCTGCATATACAGCATTGCATGATTGAAGCTGCTCAAGTTGTGCCGAGTACTGGCCTTAGGCATGCAGCTCCCATTGAAGCACAGGAGAAGTGAGCAGGGAAATGGGATTTTAGGATTGTCAAGAAGGGGGGGAAGGGACTTTCCAAGAATAAAACTGTCTGGACCATCATGAGCATAACAAGGATCACACAGGTGACTTCATTTGCCTCTTCATTCATTGATTTATTCATTTACACACCATTTTCTTTAGCTAGAAAAATTCCCAGAGTGACTTGCAAATCAATAAAA